TTTCGTCATGTTACTGTCCAGTTTTCCCAATACTGTTTATTGAATAAACTATCATTAACCTATAATATGAGCTTGTTTCATTGGTCAAATATTAATGACTACACAGGTATAGGGTTATTTCTGGGCTCTCTATTCTGTTCCATTAATGTATCTGTTTTTATGTCACTACCATACTGTTTTGGTGACTATGGCCTTATATAATCATTTGATTATTAGGTAACGTGATTCCTCCAACTTTGTTCTTCTATCTCAGGATTGCTGTTGCTATGTGGAACATTTTATGGTGCTATATAAATTATTGAAATGTTTGTTCTAGGTCTGTGAAATATGTCATCTGAATCTTGATAGGAATTGCACTGAATCTATAGATTGCTTTGGGTAGCATGGGATTTTAATTATGTAAATTTTTCCTATCCATGAACACAATATGTGCTTCCACTGATTTGTATTTTCTTCTGTTTCTTTCTTCAGTGTCTTATAATTTTCTGAGTACAGGTGTTTCCCATCCCTGGTTAGATTTCTTTCTAGGTATTTTATTCTTTTTGAAGCAATTGTGAATGGAATTGTTTTCTTAATTTCTCTTTCTTTTAGTTTATTATTGACATATAAAAATGAAACTGGCTTCTGGTTATTAATTTTATATCTTGCTACTTTCTTGAATTTATGTATCAGCCCTAGTGGTTTCTGGTAGATATTTTGGGGTTCTCTATGTACAGTAATATGCCATCTACAAATAAAGACAGCTTTACTTCTCCCTTTCCAATTTGGAAAGGTTGCTTGTCTGATTGCTATGGCTAGGACTTCCAGTACTGTGCTGAATGAGGTGAAAGCAGACATCCCTGTTTTGTTTCAGATCTTATAGGGAGCAATTGTAGTTTTTGCCCACTGAGTATGGTGCTGGCAGTAGGTTAGTCATATATGGCCTTCATTATGTTTAGGTATGCTTCATCTATTCCCACTTTGTTGAGAGTTTTTATCATAAATGGGTGCTGGATTATATTACATGCTTTTTCTGCATCTATTGGTAGGATCATGTGGTGTTTATCCTTCATTTTGTTTATGTAGTGAATCACATTTAATGATTTGCAATTTGTGCCAAACTTGCATTCCTGGGATAAATCTACTTGATTGTGGTATATGATCTTTTTGATGATTGCTGTATTCAGTTTGCTAATATTTTGTTGAGGACTTTAGCATCTATGTTCACCAGGGACATTGCCCTGTCATTTTCTTTTTCTGTAGTGCCTTTATCTGATTTTAGAATTAAGATAATGCTGGCCTCATAAAATGAGTTTAGAAGCTTTCCCTCCTCTTGAATTTTTTGGAATAGCTTGAGGAGGGGTGTTCTCAGGATGTGTGCTGAAATTCACCTATGAAGCCATCTAGTCCAGGACTTTGGTTTGTTGGAAGTTTTTTGATTATTACTTCAATTTCACTATGTATCATATGTCTATTCGGATTCTGATTCTTTCTGATTTAGATTTGGATGTTCATATGTCTAGGAATTTATCCATTTTTTTCAGGTTGCCCAGTTGGTTGGTGTATAGTTATTAATAATATTTTCTTACAATCCTTTGTATTTCTTTGGTGTCAGTTTTTATTTCTCCTCTTTCATTTCTGACTTTATTTGAGTCCTTTCTTATTTTTTCTTGATTATTCTGATTGTAATTCTAGTTTGGTCTCAGGAGGAAGTTTGTGTAGCTTTCACTTACTCCTCCACATCTTGGGTCCTTCCATCCAAGGACCCAAAGGTCCTTTTAGTCTGTGTGTATCTTAAAAAAAAAATATATATATATATATATATATATATATATATATATATATATATATATATATATATTTAGAGAGGAAGAGAAGGAGAAAGGGAGAGAAACATTAATGTGTGGTTGCCTCTCATGCACCCCCTACTAGGGACCTGGCCCACAACCCAGGCATGTGCCCTGACTGGGAATCAAACCTGCAGTCCTTTGGTTCATAGATCTGTGCTCAATACACTGAGCTACACCAGCCAGGGCCTGTGTGTATCTTTTGATTTGAGATTGTTATTAGGAGGATACAGCATATGTATTGGTCTTGTTTTCTTATCCTTTCAGCTACCCTACATCATTTTAGTGTAGAATTTAGGTCATTTACATTTAAAATGATTATTGGTAGAGATACATATTTATTGTCATTTTATTTTTAAACCATTTTCATCTTTTTCTTCTTCTCAAAACAAGCTCTTTAACAGTTTTGCAATATTGGTTTGATGTTAACAGACTCCTTTTTCTTGTCTGGGAAGTTCTGTATTTCTCTTACAATTTTAGTAATAGTCTTACTTGGGTAAGTAGCCTTAGCTTTTTAGCAAAGTCTTTGCTTTTCATCATTTCAATATTTTATGCCAATCTCTTCTGGCCTAAAATGTTTCTGTTAAGTAATCATATGACAGTCTAATGGGAATTCCCTTGTAGGTAAGTTATTGCTTTTCTCTTGAGCATTTAAGATTATCTCCATGTATTTAATCTTTGCCATTTTAGTTATGATGTGTCTTGGTATGAGTTTGGTCCTCTTTTTTTATTCTTTGAGCTTCCTGGACTTGTATGTCTTTTTTCTTCACCAGGTTAAGGAAGTTTTTGGTCTTTTTTTTCTTCAAATATGTTCTCAATCCCTTACTTACTCTCTTCTCCTTCTCATATTTCCATGATGTGGATGTTATTATACTTCCTCTCATCTGTATGCTTCATACATGTATGCATTCTTTATTTCTGACTAATTATTTTTATGGTTTCTACGTTCCATTTTATGCTTGCTATCTCTGTAAATTATTTTTATGCCTTCTGTGTCTTGAGAATTCTTTTTTCTATTCTTCCTTAACAAATCTCAGCTTCATTATATACTTTTGGAATTGCTCACTTAAAATGAGAAATTATTTTTTGTGACTATTACTTTATGTTATATTATTTGAGTAGAGTAGTTGCTGTATAAATGTACCTCAAAATATGTAATTGCTTGGTTACTATATTTTTTTCCTGTTTATTTAAGACATGAATGAACAGGTTGGAGAGAAGGCCCCCTTCACTCATATTCAGGCAGCACAACAAATACAGGCCTTTCCATCTTTAATATATGATTTTCAACATTGTGCTGGCATTGTCTGTTTTTTTCAGGCAGCCAAATGAAAAACAATATATGGAGGTGGATGCACGGGAAGTGTATAATTAGTTCTGGAAGTGGAAGTGTACGTCACTTCCTTTCACATCCTGTTGGTTGACTCAACCATGTGACACTGTACTAATTGTAGAAAAATACCTGTTAGCTTGGTTACTTAGAACTTGTCTTATTTGTGTAGTTAATCATTTTGGAGTAATCCACTTTCTCCATTGGCTCCTACTCACATTTCTGTGACAGTCCTGTGGCCCTGTAATTATGATTTAATCTTGTGGCATGAGCAGGGCAATGACACTGGCACAAAGTCCATGCTGGTGGTTAGCTATCCAGCCATCTCTGTGCTGGAATTGACAAGTAAGAAGCAACCATCAGAACACAATGCAGGGCTGCCAGTCAACTTAGTCTGAACTTCTGTCCTTATTTGTCACGGTGTTTCTTTTTCATTACTTTCTCCTATGTTTTGCTCTCAGCTAAAGATATTCAGAAATCTCATCCAAACTTCCGGCAACTCTCTTCTCCTTATACTTTTGACTGATGACTTCATAAAGCCCCAGACACTGGAGCAGCTTCCAGACTCTGCAACTTCATTAGTCTCCTTGTCTATTCTTGGCAAGATAAGAAATTCTAGACAAATGGAAAGGCTGTTTGTCTCAACTGTTAAAGCTTTATGTTTCTCAGGGTTATGTACATCATTGAACTTTTAGCTCTTCCTTTCCCAGCTCAAGCTTCTGAGCTTGTTCAAATGTCATGTTCTACTTAAGTAACTATTTGAAGTGATGTTGGCATTTCTGTTTATTTTTTAATTCCTTGTTTTGATTTTCACCCCACTGGATAGCATTTATTTTGGCCAGGCTATTTGTATTTCCTCTGATGCTCATGCCCTAAGTTCTGATGAATTGGTTCTTAGTATTATACCTGAAATATTAGAGCGAAGCAGAAAGATACAAGGAAGGAAGCAGATGGTGCAAAATGAATGAGGTGTTTTGTTGTGAATGAGAAATAGAGGGTTAACAAATCCCACACATTATGTGAGGAGAAGGACAATGGAATACACAGAAATGAATAATAGGTAGAATGGGGCAATTACAAAAGTAAGGGCCAGGAAACAATCCCAGTGTTCTATGCTTCACATACCTAAGAGGCAAACTGGGGAGAGGCAAATTTATATTTTTAAGGGATAAACAAAGAACCTCTTAACTCTGAGGATAGGTCTAGGCCAATCTTTTATGTCAAAAATGCAGATCAGAATTACAGCACTTTTTACAAATCAAATGCAAGTGTGTATGTGTCTGGAAACAGAAGGTCCATTTCTACTTTCAGAATCCCAAAGGGGTCCATGATTCATAAATGGCTAAGAGTTACTGGATTAGAGGGTCTGTGTATGTTGAAAGGAGTCAAAACTATGAAGGAAAGGAGATGACCAGGAGAAAGAAGGTGAAGGGCCTAACGCAAAACTGGTGTGGAATGAGACATTGTGGGAATTAACATTTCACTATATAATGAAGTCTGAGTGTCAAGCATTAAATGTTCAATTATGAAATTAAAGACCTATACTGTATAATATAAAAGAGTATCTATTTCCATGTCAAAGTATATGAAGTAAAAAAATGAAAGAATAGGTTTAAATTCTATAAACCTAGACTTATATTTTTCAAACTAATGTTCTTTAAGAATGCAGTTTTGCAATAGCATTTTGTTTTTATTTTCTATTCCACTGAAACTGACCTTTTGTTTTACTTAAGACATTTTTTAGGCATCAAAGAATACAAGCCTAGGCTAGTATCCAAAGGCACACTAAATAATGATATTTCTCTTTTTATGAAGGCACTAACACTTATTTTTGTTTCTGCTAGCAAAACTGCTGAGTTCTTGAGCAGACTGGAGACAGAGTGGCCAAACAGAAGTATCTGTCAAACTGCTCATCATAACCCACAATCTTCACCTTGGGTAAGTGGAATGCCACACAAGTAATGTCTGGCATTTTTAAAAGAGGTGTTCAGTAAGTGAAGATTAAGTGCATAGAGTGACCTATACAACATAGAATATTGCAACTAGAGACAGATGTCCTAACCTGAAACTTTAATTGCTTCTTCAGTTGTACAATAATGTTTGTACCTGTAACCTGTATTATGGACACTTGGACAAAAAAAAAAAATTGGCCTCAGTAAAGCCTTTGATCTCACCATCTATCCACCGTGCCTGTAAGGACCTTAGTCAAGTGAAGGAGAAAACCATAGTTATACAACAACATAGTGAGTGTAGAGCATATAGTAATTAGAAACCTGAAGTTTAAAATATGAGTCAATAAACTGAAGAGAGTCAGCCTAGGTGTCAAATTAAATTAAGACACAGAAGCAAGAGTTAAAGTACAATGTCAAAGAAAAGCATGGCTTGTTTTAGGAGTTTTGTGTAGGTGCAGTCTACTGGAGTGCAACTCTAGAAGAGCTGCAGTATAGAAGGCTGGAGAGATAGGTAGGAACTATGAGGACGGTTCCTCAGTGGGCTCTCTTTGATGCTGCAGGATGTTTAGCATTCCCGATTCTTGGGCACAAAATGCCAGTAGCACCCCACAGACAGTGAGACATCCAGAAATGCCTCACACAGGAAGCTGGTGGTACTCCTGGTAGAAAACCACTGTAGAAATCTATGCATCATCTTGGAGAACTTGGACTTCATTCTGTGAAGACTGAAGGTAATGAAAAGTTTTAAATAGGAAGGTCCAAGGTTAGATTTGTCCTTTAGCTGTATCACACTAATAATCTTGTAAAGGATGGATCCAAAAGAGTATAGGGGGCAGAGGGACCTCTAAGACCCTTCTGTATTAGCTGAGGTGAAGAAAGATGAAGGCGTGAAGTAGGGTGGTAGGTGAGAAGATGGAGATGATAGTGCAGGTTAGAGAACTGCTGACAGGTGATATTGGCAGAGCTTGGTTATTAACTAGCTAATGGGGCACAACAAAATAAGTGTAATTAAGGATGAGTCTAGCAAAGGGTTGTAGTTCAAAGAAAATACGGGTTTGAGTTCTAAAACGTCTGTGTTTTCAAGATTTGGGAAGCTAAAAAAAATAAGTTGTTAGAGAAATCTGATCTTCATCTTCTCCCACCGACCCCCTTTCTCATTAGTGATCACATTTTTAAAATGTCAGGAAGATATTATGACACTTTATGGGAAAAGATCATTTTTTCCCTATTGCTAATGTGATAGTTTAAAGTCTAAATTTGCTATGTGGGCTCTTCAAGTCATGTCAAATTCATCATTTCTCTCCCCTTGTTGCAGGGCTCTGGAGGAAAGGCAAGTTATAGGTAGCAGAGTTAAATCATGTGTAGGAACAGTCTTTGCACCTGTCCAGATACCCTGTGGCAGTGAGAAAGGGGAGGGAGAACAGGAGTTGGATAGCCTTACCAGCTGGGCGTTTGGCTGCCAGGATGGTCTTGTTTTCTGCTCAGAGCTTCCTGACCCCTATGGTTTGAAACACCTCGTGGAACTGTGCATGCTTGTTCTGTTGATTTTGGCTCAATTCTTCAACTTAACAAGATCATCCTGAACTTTAATACTGTCATAGAAAGCATTAATAATGTCTCCCATAGCTGCATGTTTTGTGGACTGATAGTGCATTAACTACATGGTCCTCAGCACTATTAATAAAAAATATGAAGCAGGATTAGACCCAGAATGGTTCCTTATGAACTGAGTTCAATAGCTTCTCAGATTTTGACACCAAATTGCTACTCATTTTTGCCACATATTTAATTCAGTTTTTACCCATACTATATTCTTATTCTATCTAATACATCTGCATAGATTTTCTCTGCTTTGCAGAACCATCTAATGCTTAAGGAAAGTCAAACATGTACATGAAACTTTTGCAAAGCTATGACACCTGTGGTTTGCCTTAATTATGGTCAATATATGGAACATAAATACTGTGCAATACCCATTTACATGGAATGTGAAGAGCTGCAGGGTTTCAAGTTTTTTTAAGAAACAATTTTAATTTTATGACATAATGCAACTTTCCTGAGAATATTGTTTTTCTTATGCTATTTACTTGTGGATCTGTCATGGGCAGACAGGAATTTAATAAATACTATATAATTATGTAAATGAAAAAGACTATAAGAACATTTCTTTAGATGTTACACATAAGGACTTCAGACAAAAGCATGCACACTAAATGGTTTCCAGTCTCTGGTTTGCTACCCCTTGCTTCCTTTTCTTCTAGAGAGAGTAGTAATTGTTAAAACTCTCATCCTGTTGTTCCATTGCCCAGTGACCACTATATGTTTAAGGATAAAGTCAGAATGCCTTAGTTTAATCAAAAAGTGCTATCTGCTCTCTGCTCCTTTCCTCCTACTCACCTCTCTCTAAAGTTTAGGTCTTTGCCACTCCCAGGCCAGAAGCCTGGGCATCACCTGAGGACTTACAGAAATGTAAACAAATCTTAAGCCCCACTTATTTCAGAAGCTGCATTCTAACATGGTCTGTGGGTGATTTGTGTGCATATTAATGTTTTAAGGGCATTTCTCAATCACCTATATCTGTATGGCCATATGATATCACTTTTACTACTCTAAACACTTACTGAAACTTGGTTATTTTAATTTTTTTCCATGTGTCACATATTCTTTAAAAGTCAACACTTAAGGGGCATATGCTGCTTCCATGCCTTTGGTCCTACTTTTACTCCAACACTTTAAACTCCTTTTATTAATTTCCCATCACTTATAAAGTAACTAATGGATATTTAAGGTATGGCATGATGACTATAGTTAATACTATATCACATATTTGAAAGTTGCTAAAGAATAGACCATAAAAGTTCACATCACAAGAAGAGGTTCTATAACAATGTATGGTAATGGATGGATGTAAATTAGACTACTGTGTTGATGATTCCACAATAAATATAAATATTGAATTAAGTTGTAAACCTTAAACTTATATATTATATGTCAATTATACCTCAATAAAACTTCCCTATTGCTGCTGTATCAAATTACTGCAAACTTAGTGGAAAAAAACAACACACATTTATTCTCTTACTGTTCTGGAATCAGAGTCATAAATGAGTACAAAGGGGTTAAAAGCCGGTGTCAACAGGACTGGTTCCTTCTGGAGGCTCTAGCAGGGAATCTGTTTTGTGCCTCTCCCATTGTTTCTTAGCCACCATCATCCTTTGGCTCCTTGGCATGTGGCTATATTATTCTGATCTCCATTTTCATTCCCAAATCACCTTCTCCATACTCTTTGAGTTTGCCTTCCTCTTATAAGAAACCTTGTGATTATATTGGGCCCACCTGGATCACCCAGCATCCTCTCCTCAAGATCCTTAATTTCTGTAAATTCCCTATTGCCACATAAGGTAATATTCAGAGCTTCCAGGGATTAGGACATGGACATCATTAGGGAGCCATTATTTATCCCACCATACTCTGCCAACTGTTTCTTTTGTTATTTGATTTCACATTATCTGTTAACATGTATATTGCTGTCTCATGATTAATCAATTTTAGTTCTCAGTAATTTATTTCCCCTGTTCTCCTAATGTAACTATTCATTATTTCATCCTTTCTTGTTATGAAAATGTGAATATTTTCTCACTGCTAAGCCAATTACATTTTCTTTTTTCACAACTTTTAGAAAATTTCATTTTATTTTTGCGTTTTCTTAGTTTCCTTCGAAATCTGACTGCTTTTCCCCAGCTTTTGTGATAGTTTACAAAGTGCCTCTTCATGCAAATTTCCACACAATTTCCAATTTTTGCCTGTTAGATAGTTTGTCAATGCCAGGTTTCTTTCCCTCTTGGAAATATCCCTTCTGCATCCCTCTTACCTCCTACCTTAACCTGGGCTGGTTCCTCTTTAGGGTTTCTACACAGTTCTTATTCCGAAACTTTCAAAGAATGGTTCTCATTCTTGTCTGCACACTGAAATCAACTGGGGAGCTTTAAAATTCAATAGTGCCTGGGTCATGCCCTCATGTGTCCTGCTGTACTGAGGCCTGGGCTTCAGGCCTTTTAAAGCTCCCCGTGTAATTCTATTTGTGCTGCCAATGATAAGAACCACTGCTGTGAATTCATCAGGGGAATAGTTGTTACTGCCTTCATATGCTGGGTCCCTGATTTCTAGGTCTCATCTATATTCTTGATTTATTATTATTATTTTTTGTTTTGATGGAGCCTATTATTTAGTAGCCTTTCAAGATAAGATGCATGTTCAGATTCTTGTGTATCTGAAATTATCGTTTTTCATCTCTTATTCTTAGTTTACAATTTTCTGGTAAGTATTACAAATTAAAAATAATTTTTCTTCAGGATTTTGCATGCATTGTTCTTCTAGCCTTGTGTATTGTTTCCTGAGAAATCCAAGGCCATCTGAATATCAGTCCTTATATGAGGGTTTTCTCTACTTTTCCTGTAAATTCTTTAATATCTTCTTTTTTCCTGGTATTCTGTAATTTATAGTGATATGCCTTAGTGTGGGATCATTGTTATTCCTTTTTAAAAATAAAGGAAACTCATTTCTAGTTTTAGATGATTTTCTTGTGTTATTTCTTTGATTTATTTCCCTTCATTTTCTCTTAATGGAATTCTTGTTATTCAAATATTATGCCTCCAGGATTTTCTAACTTTTTCATAAAAAATTATATTTCTGCTTTAACTTATTCTTGATGACTCCTGCCCACCCCCACTTCCTGGCATATTGACTTAGAAAAAAATCCCAGTCCTTTCCCTTCTGCATGTCTCTTTTACTCACACAACTACTATACTCTCAACACCTCTGACACCAAATGTATGGGTTTTTTCTCATATCAAGTAATTTGTGACACCAGTTAGGTGCCCTATAATTTAACTCAGTTGTGACCCTATCTACCTAGAGATGGTGTCAATTCCCACTGTTTAAGGGCTTAGTCCTATAGGACTGCTTCCACTTCAGATTACAGTCATA